TAAAAAATAATTTTTGTGTTTTTTCTCTCTCATAAACGGGACCTCAGTTTTTTTAAAAATTTATAAGTGATAACCTAAAATTAAAAGTAGATTTTACACTATTTCGAGGAGACCGGTCTCACTGGTGACTTTACAGATTACAGTTATTTTTTTTTTTTTTTGTGATTTTTCACTAAATCAGGACCCTATCCTCACAAAATAATGAGTACATTTTTCACGATTTCGTGTAAAGTTTAGAATAACACCTGATTCACAACACACATGCAATGGTATTCCTCAGAAAAAATAATTGAAATTTTAAAAACTCAGTTTTTTTTAAAAAAAAAAGTTTAAAAAACGAGAAAAAATTTAGATTTTTTACAGCATCTAAAACGAAAAATGTAAAGAATATCACTTCTGAAAACATCATCTTTCCACATTTTTCGTCGAATGGGTGACAAAATTAAATTTATAGAATCGTTTTTGGTTCACTTGAAAAATGTGTTTTATAAAAGCTTGCTTTTATTTTATTATTTTTAGTATCTTGTAAACTAGTTAATGTGTCAAAAAGTGTCAGCAATTTCGATTGGTTCGATCATTGCTATATGGCGATAAATTCTGCCATTAGCGATTAAGAAACAATAGGATATCTACAAGTGACGTAGTATGGGTATTTCGATCCTGATTGGTTGTTGAAACGTGCCATTTGTTTACGTTAGAAACTGTTCATTCCATTCTATTTCGTGTGAGCCAAGCCCTTCAAGTATCAATTCTCTTAAGTGACACATTCTACTTTTTTACACAAAGATTTCAATTATTTATATTTCTTAACACAAAGACAGGCATGAAGCCACGTAGAACATAAACTAGCATCGAAGTTGCCAGGTACACAAAACAGAAATATGTCGCTGTTTCAATAAAATAAATAAACAGATAATAATTCAAAGTCAAGTAGAAGGCATAGACGAGAAAGAATTACATTTGAATAAATTCGATGCTTGATAAAGCGCTTTATTTCATTATTTTCACTTTAATCAACATTCTAACTTATGTGGAGAAACTTAGCTCAGCTTTAACACGGCATTTTGATTATAAATGATCAGCTAGCATCGATGTCATAGGTCACAAGTGTGGGTATCGTTGATCTTCCTCTTCTTGAAGTGCGAGTACCCAATTGAAGCTTACATATTCAACAAGCACTGAGCTTCAGTGGAATTTTGAGAACTTAACCAAATTGTCGGTTAATGGTCGAAATTTTGGCAAAAATATGCCGATGCATTATGCTTGTAGCGATCAGGTAATAAGTGTGACTTTTTATTGTCATCGCGCACAGAGCTCCAGTCGAAATCGAACATTCTTTTTAGCTAAAAAGTAGTCAAAAGTTAGATTAAGAAATTTGCATTCAAACGGAAACCAAAGAGATAAGTAAAATTAGGTAAAAGTTTCTTTTAAAAATTTAAAATTAAGTAAAAATTTGTTTTAGAAATTTAAAATTAGGTAAAAATTTCTTTTTTTTCTGATAAAAGAAGTCTGTAATTACTCATAATCATTCTAAATTGGATTCATACAAAAGATAGAGGAAGCTCTACTAAATTATATCATAACAAGGGATTATTCTAGTATTTTTGGAAAAGTTCTGTTTTGGTGAAATTGTGAAAAATATACTCATTTTGCGAAGATGGGAACTTGAGTTGACGCAAAGCCCAGCAGTCTTATCTGACTTATTGTGAAAGATCCGATTTCTTGAAAAGGTAAAAAATCTACTCATAAATTTATATGTGTGCAAAAATAAGGTCCCGTATATGTAAAGGAAAAAAAATCACGTCTTTTAAGAAGTTTTAGATTGAAAATTATGTTGTTGTAGTTCATTTACGCCGCACTAGAGCTGCGCAATGGGCTATTGGCGACGGTCTGGGAAACATCCCTGAGGATGAATATGTAAATATTC